ATGGAGTGTGTCAGGGTACGTCTACACTGCAACACTAGTCCGAAATAACATAATCCGCATCGACACAGCAGGCAGTTATCTCAAAATACTGTCAAGCTGGAGGGCTTCTTAGTCCGACTCCTGTAACCCTCAGGCTGTGTCTACACTGGCAAGTTTTTCCAGAAAATCAGCAGCTTTTCCGGAAAAACTTGCCAGCTGTTTACACTGGCCGCTTGAATTTCCGGAAAAGCACTGACGATCTCATGTAAAATCATCAGTGCTTTTCCGGAAAAACTATGCTGCTCCCGTTCGGGCAAAAGTCTTTTTCCGAAAGACTTTTGCCCGAAAGGGCCCGTGTAGACAGCATAGTTCTGTTTTCCGCAAAAAAGCCCCGATCGCGAAAATGGCGATTGGGGCTTTTTTGCGGAAAAGCGCATCTAGATTGGCCACGGACGCTTTTCCACAAAAAGTGCTTTTGCAGAAAAGCGTCCTGCCAATCTAGACGCGCTTTTCCGAAAAAGCTTTTAACGGAAAACTTTTCCGTTAAAAGCATTTCCGGAAAATCATGCCAGTGTAGACATAGCCTCATTGTATGAGGAGTAAGGAAAGTCGGAGACAGAGCGCTCGATTTGGAAATAAGCTACACACTTGACATAGCTCAATTTGCATAGCTTAAAGTTAAGCCCTGCTGTAAATGTACCTGCAGGGAGTCAGCTCTCATTAACAGAGAACGCCGGATCTTGGCTGATCTCTTTAAAAAATACTCCATCATTGCTAATGTGTTCATACCCACGCTCACTCCAGAAATAGGTTTCCAAGTAGTTTTATTGCCATTTGTCAGCTTCCCACAGCAGTAGCTGGCCACCCTGTGGATTCCAAATGGCAAATAATAATGAATCAAATGCAAAGATTGATTTCCAGCCTATTGATACTCCACGCACAGGAGTGCGTGGCGTGCTTTGGAAAACTCACACATGCTACCTGCACTGGGGGAAGGTGACACGAAGAGACTCGCTCACAACTTGATGGCGTCAGGTGCAGCGTCACAAACCCACAGAGGCCATGTCCCAGTCAGGACGCTGACCTTTGTAAGCATTAAAAGCCAAGCCGTGACAAAACTCCACTGTGCAGCCCTCGACGGGGCTCGAAAGAGAAGACCTACGCCCAAGATTGCTGACCCTAGAACAGACTCGGCGTCTGTTTGACATCAGATGCTTAGAGAGAGACTAGAGCCTGTAATGATTTTGGCTGATTACTGCACAACAGGGTTTAAAAAACCCTCTTCCTTAGTCCCCACGCTCTTAGCAGCTGCCTGAGTGTATTCTGTGGTTTTAATAAAAACCTTATTAAAGTTCATAACAAAACAGACATGCAAGTCCATGGAACAGTTTGGGGAAGGGTGAGACTGGTAACTGTGTGTGAAACTCAGGGAGATGCAGCAACA